GGTACACCTTAAGATAGCCTAGCGAGAGCAGATGGCATTTAAGAGGGGAGTAAGGAAGAGGACACCAAAGCTCAGGACAGGAATGTGCTCCCAAATAGCCTAGAGCTAGTCCTCTGCCAGTGACTGTCATTGACATCATGCCACTTACTCCACGCCCCACCCAAACACAAAAGCAGCCTGAATTCCCATCCTGCAAACTATGCTAATATAGTTCTAAAATAGACTTGTTCTTCTTGATATGAATTTTGAGTTCTAAGGGTCTGGGTTGTTTAAGAATTTTCTAGAATAAACCCAAACGGCATCATCAGTCCTTTATCCAGACAACATCATGGCTGCTTCCAAATTCGAAGCATGGGAGCACATGCCACTTCCAAAGGAAACCCACTGAAACAAGGTATGACAGTACTGCCTCTAAAAACAGCAGCAGTCAAAGAATAAATCAAAAAGACATACTTTCCAAGTTCTGACATAAAAGTATGAAAGAATCCATTTTGTTTTTAACTTCAGAATGAAATCCATTAGCAGTCCTTTCTTTGGGGACATTTAGATTCAGTGGTGGGTTGATTGGTCAATTCATTTTTTAACTGGGTAAATCATTTGCACATGTACATGTTATGTATGTGCATGTGTATACATTTTCACATTGACTTTATTCTTAAATGTGTACATCAATTCATCATCTCTTTTGATGCAGTGGCAAATGCACAGACACTACACAGATTTCCATGACACAGTTCTTAAATACGAAAATGAGGGCCCGCCTTTCAAAGAAAACAATCTTCACTCTGAGTCAAGATGTGCTATGACGTGGCTTGGCTCCATCATTTGCCATTATCCCTCTCGGACCTGGTCATTATGTGGCCAATACTTTTAGTAATTCAGTCAAAGTTCAATTAACCGCCCAAGTCTTTGATTTATATTGACAAACATCTTAGTGATAATGTAGTAAAATGTTTAACTACATTGACTAGAAATACTAACATACACTCTTGGAAAAATCATATTCAAACTCTACATATGCAGGAAACATATTTCTTAGGTAAACTCACCTACAGAAGAAACCATTTGGTTCTTCATATATTTTATACTTCTTTTCCCAATTCAAAAGGATCCTCTATCCCAGAAGAGAAGGTAAAAGAAGTTTAATAGTATCAGAAGTCTATAGTTGCTAACTTAGGGAACAGATGAAAAACTACCATTTGGTTTCAGTATTTGCTTTATTAACTACTACCTACAAAACTCAGAATCCACATTCTGGTCAATCATTTGCAATCTCTTGACATTCGTACTACTTAGGTTACAGTCAGCCAGTCAACAAGTATTTATTGCTCTACCAAACTGGTGAAATAAACATGGCAATAATAATAAATTCCTTTTAGAGTTATATATTCTAGAAATAAAACTTTTAAAAGAATCATTACCTGTATAAAAACAGAAACAAAGAATATTAAGGAAATGTTACTTGATAGCAGTTTTCCCCTCACTTAAGAAACATTGAAAAAATGTCTTCAAGAGTTATTTATTAGGGAAAATGATTCACCTAGTATACACACAACACAATTTTATTGTTACCATTTGACTCTGATTTTTGTATTAACGTATTACTAAGTGGAATTATCAGCTAATAAATGCTTATTGTGCTTTCCTGTATTTTTCAGTTGGGATTATAATTAAGATGATTGATATGTGTTAACCATATTTAAAATTATAAAACCCAGATATTATAAAAATTAAAAAGTCATTAACAATGTATATTTTAAACTAATATTATGATTGTACTACTGATCTCAATCCTGACAACACACACAAACACACACACATATTTTTCCCTTAGGAAAAGTGACACATTAAATTAAAAAGAAAAACACCACAGGAGATTTTTAGGGCACATAATGGTGGAAATATGTCAGAATATATTTTTCAAAAGCCAACAATGTAAAATATTAACAGAAAACCCTAATGTAAACTAGAGACTTTAATTAATAACAATGTATTCAGTACTGACTCATCAATTGTAACAAATGTATGTCACCAATGCAAGATGTTAATAATAAGGATGATTGGGAAGTTAGAAGGTAAATGTGAACTCTTTCCACTTATTTTACAGTAAACCTAAAACTAATCAAGAAAAATAAAGCCTATTAAAAACACACAGAGAGAGAGAATTCAAACAAACATCATGACCATCTTGCCTTTGTATTGGTTAAACTCAGTCATCAAAATTAATAAAGTATCCCCTTTGTCATCAGCTACAAATTTAAATCATTTTAAAAATCATGCCACTATTGATACGTTTTGATGCAAGAAGTCCTATTAAACAAGGATTCTATCACCTACATTTTCTCCTCTTTGTGTGTGTACCTGTACCTTCAGTCCAGTTTCCAGCTTGAAAGTGTCAGTGAACAGAGGTGGAGGAGTGTGTAGAGGTATTCATTCAAATTACAAATCCCACAATTCCTACTTATCCATTAAGACAGAAGGCAGTGGTGTAAATTAGAGCACTGGCTTAGAAGCTATCATTATAGTACATGTATGGGAATCTGGTTTCAGAGGTATTTGTAAAACTTAAGAAGCTTTTAAAATACAGGGTGGGGAATGATGGCTCAGTCATTAACAACTATGCAACTCCTCCTAGGCATTTAAAGAAAAAAATAAAGAGAAATGTTTCAACTGGGAGATATTCATGTTGGGTGTTATTTTGGCATTCCCAAGCCTGAGTTTTTGTTAGGGTTCAATTTAGAGCTGCCTGAATGGCCTTACCCTAATGCCCAAAGCACTTACATCCAAAACCACTAAATGTATAAGCCCTTTAGCCTGAGCTTGCCAGGAAGACCCAAATCTGCACAAGAGAAATGAGGAATGCAAAGAATGCTTGAAATAAAATATCAATCCACCAAGCAGTTTCTGTAGTATACCTACTAGGCATCTGACACAGAAATAATTTCCATAATACAAAGCATTTTAGAAGTATTGATATCTTGGTGTCACAGGTGTGTCAATAATTCATAGTTAAATACAATGTTGACCTCAGAAAATGTTTCATGAAAATTGTTTCCACTAGGAAATATATTCAAAATACGAGTTAAATAGTAATATCCATTTTAATAGTGAAGGAAACCAAGAATTCAGGAAAAGACATGAGAGAAGAACATAAATTCAAACTATCCATGGCAAAAATGAAATTTGCTACCTTCCATAGTCTTACAATAGTTAACCTATCACTCCGCTTTATCAAAATCAGAGCCAGAACTAAGCATAATTTTAAAGGTGACTCAGAACAAATAAAAACTAAAATATCAATGATTACCTCAGGTGTCCATATTATCTATCTCTCTCTGAGTTCACTATTTCACTTTTTAAGGTTTTCTCCAGAACTAGGACCTTACTTTAAAAAAAAAAGTCTTCAAATATTTTCAACTACCTCTTTTCTCAACTTCTTGGTATTCCCTTCCCAACCCCCAAGTCAATTTCAGTTCTACTCAAACTCACTTTTTATTTTGAAAAGCATACTGTATTTTAAAATTAAGAGGAAAAAAGCATTATTCTAAGGAAATTTCCTTGGTTAAATAGCATAAATTAAGTTCTTCAGGAATGAACACTGCAGTGATTCCAAGGGTTGACAGAACTGTTCTCTGCTGCTAAGATTCAAGTAACTATACCATGACCATGAGCACAGATCAGATCCCCGCTTGGATTCCCTTAAGGCCTCCGAAATTGACAACCAGCAGGCCTCAAAATTTTGACTTACCACTGACAGACCCAGTTTAGCCTCACCTTAGCAGGTTTCCTAGGACAGATTCAGGAACATCATAAAAAAAAAAAATACTATTCAACAGGCTAAATTCAAATTATGAGAAAATAATATGAATAGAAATAAAAAATATTCAAAAAGTTGAAATCCTTCTGTAAAATAAAATTAGGTGTCACAGGATCTGTCTGTGACAGCAGCTCTCGCAAACTCTTCTGTGCATCAGGGATTGTTTATTAAACAGCACTGGCAACAGTTCTTGGACAATAGACCTGCTGGAGCCTTAGGAAAACTGCATGAGTAACAAACACCTTCATACTACCATGCAAGGTATGACCATGCCCTTTGTGTTATATCTACCTTATTCTTATCCTTTGCCTCACCTCTACCTGTCTGTCACCTGTATCACTGTCTCTGGGTACCAGACTATGTCCCCACTGGTACAGAAAAACGAACGAAAACAATCTTTGCTGCCATCAGTAGCTACGTACAGGTGTTTTTTTTTTTTTTTTCTTTCATGGCATGTAACTCTTCCTCTCCTAAAAGAAAATGTTGAAGGACACTAAGGTCGCACTTATCAAACATATTTATGTTTTCTTCTACTTGCAAAATAATATAAATGACTTATATGTGTTGCCCACTCCTTAATCGTAGCCTTCATTTCTAAAATCATCAAGCTGTTAAACACAGCTTTTGGCTAATTTTTTTTTTAAAAAGGAATGAATGCTAAGGGAGGAATCCCTAGCCCTCCTGCCAATCATATCTCTCCCTGCACTACTGGCTTTGTGAACTAGTGATTTCTTCACCTGATCTATGCATATGGTTCACCTGAACTATCCAACTGTCTTAACTCATCGCCACCACTGGCAAGCTGAGAGCTGGTCATTGCATGTTTAGAAGAACCCAGTAGCTACAATGCCTTTTCTATAAATTAAAAGTCTGTGTGATTTTCCACCAAGACTTACTAGAGTCCACTTCAATATTGTATTTTATAGTTGGTCATTTTTTTTCACATTTTAGAAACTAATCATATTCAGTACATTAAACCTACGTTACTTCTGTTCAAATGACTTTATACTGCCCTGCAAGTACACAGTCAGAATTACTTAGCAAGACATTGCTTTCAACTCAGGGCTTGTGGGGAACTGACCACGTGTTTCATAAACAGCTCCATTCACAGCCAGCGCCCAGTGCTGACATGCGTTTTAAGTAGGCACCAACCCCAGCATTTGACTAGCGCTACCCACCAAGACTAATCATTTTGCAAAAGGCAGCAGATCTTGTTTTGAACATGGAAAAACAGAAGAGAGCAAAACTTGTCCAAAGGTTCGGCTTTGGCTCTTACCAGAAACGGGCTCCAGCAGATGCAGGAGACGCACATGATGGCCAGGAGCTGGATGACCATTTCGAAATGATGAGACCTGCCTTGTCTGTGCTGCTGACTTTTAAATTTCACTCTTAAAAGTGTAACTCCTGTGATGGCGTTGCACAAGAATGAAACCCCAAGGGCTAAGAGCCCCAGAAAAGAAAAAAGGAGAAGGTAAAACCTATCTTCCCAGTCTTGGATATGTTCTGTTTTGTAGAAACACCAGGTCCTCGATGCTTGAATTTGATAGTCTCGATGCCCAAGGATGGGCAGCAAAGCTATGAACACAGCAAACAAGCACACCCCACTCAGCATCACTTTCACGTGCTTGGATGTAATTTTTGTGGAATGAAATATTGGCTTGGTGACTCCGATACATCGCTCAATGGCCATCACACTGCCCAGAAAAAGTGGGCACAGGCCAGAAAACACCATGGAGATACCAAAAATACTGCACAGGATGTTTGATTGGTCAAAGCGGATCCAGTCTTTATCAGAAGCATAAACAAACACTGCTATCGTTCCGTTGACGAGGTGGCCGAAGAAGTCTGTGATCACCAGGCCACTAGCCAAGAGCAGAAACGATGCCTTGGACTTCTGCCTAAACCTCTGATAGGCCTTCATGAGGATAGCAATGGCAAGGCTGTTGGATAAGATCCCCACCGTCATGAAGATTATGGAAAAAAAGACAGAAAGCCGGTTTTCCGTCTGGCAAGTTGTATTTGAAAGGAGCCCAGCTGCAGGAGACACTGGCTGTTTGGAATTGTTCATGGACATTGTTGTGGAGATAAACGCGGGCTGCTCAAGTCATCGCCCTCTGAGAAGAGTGCAGGCTTGTCGTCCCGGCATCTGTAGCATAAAGACAGAGGAATGATCGCCCTGCAGAACTGCTCCTCCGACATTTAAGTCCGAAGGGCCCCAACCTTGGGGTAGGAATCAGATGCATCTGACCTATCATAAGCGAGGTTGCGTCATCCTGAAGGCCTGGGGTCCCATGTTTCCTTTTCAAGGAAAAGAAGCAGCGAAAAGTGAGCTCCCTTGATTAACCTCTTTATGGGTTTGCAAAGTCACTAACAAGATGAGTTTAAACCCAATCAAGTGGTAAAAGGCCTAAGAGTCTATGTAAATAGCTAGATGACCTTTTAAAGTTTCTGCTTTTTTGCCCAAATGGGCTTTGTCCCCAAACTGCAGATTATTCCTTAGATAAACTACCTGTTTGTCAGGGAGACAAAACAAGCTTCTCCAAACCTTGGGAGGAGGCAGCAAGGTCACTGGTGTTACATGGGGCTTTCCTCAGTAAGTTCTAAAACTATTTGATTGAGATCAAATAACAGCTCACCACACGCATCAGCGACCCAAGGGAGGCAGAGCAGTGAGTCTCTAGGAAGGCTTTCTGGTCCAGCTACCACCTGTGCAGAAATCCTAGGAAGGGAGGCGAGCTGTGCTATGAGCACATCTGCCCACATGATGTTGATTAAGCTACAGCTGAAGAGTAGCAACATCCAATGCGATTTATTGTCGCTCTTTGCTGGATGACTTGAGGCCTGAGTCACAGACCCCCGATACCCTCCCGCCCCGAGGTAGTCCGATTGGCCTTTCCCCAGCAGCTTTCCGGGAGGCTGGGAATGCTGGAACCAGCCTTCCCGGGACCCGCCCGAGTGGTCTGCCCAGGCTGCCCGCAGACGGCCGCCTCCTTCAAATCTTACTCACCGCCCGCCTTTCTCACATTACCACCCCGCCGCCCCCATGTGTCTGTTTGCAACATCCTTCCCAAACCTCCTAACTGCAGAAACTTTCTGCAATTGCTCAAATACCGGCGGGCCGGTTTTCCTCCTATCCCGGGAGGCGCCGAAGGCCGGTTTTCCTCCCACCCCGAGGGGCTAGCTAGGGGCACCAAAGGCCCGCGCTGGCCAGGGTGCCGGACTCAGTGCCTGGACAGGGAAACACAGGAGCGAAGGGGACCTCTTTCTTGCCCTTTCCCTCTTCTGAGATCTTGTCTACCTAGTCCTCAAGCCGCAGCTGAGAATTGGGACAGATCGGCCCGAGCACCCTTCTTTCTAGGGGTCTCCCCACCTTGGGCATCTGGTCCAAACATGTGGCCACGCGCAGGCTGAGGTGCCCTCCTGGGCGCCCGGGCGTGGGGTGGCTAAACCTCAGTCGCGCTGAGCATCCGGAGGCTAATGCTTGGGAATCCGGGG